AGAGAGAGAGAGAGAGAGAGAGAGAGAGAGAGAGAGAGAGAGAGAGGGAGGAGGGTCTTCTATAAAGAACTCGGGATGACCCTTTATAACGTCGGTTCATTAAATACCACCTCCTTTGTCTCCGCTTCCAGGACTCAAAAACCCCAACACAAATCGCCTTTGAATCTAATACGTAACCGCCCCATTTCACCTGTTTGCCTCTCTTCCTCTCTATCTGGTACTCTCCTCTCTCTGGGTTTGACTCTTTTTGTTGATTGTTATGTTTAAATGTTGTTAAAATGCATGCTTGGGCTGAAAGATTGTTCCTTTGGGTCTTTTTGTTTGGTAAAAAGATTAGGCTTTTAGGGGTGATTAGATTGTGTTTTGACATTTTGAGATCTGGGTTTTGATTTTCATTATGTTTTAATTGATGGGTCGAATTCTGGATGTGAAACGGGTTGGTGCTTGGTGTTTGAAGTGCAGGAATGGAATCCACTGCTGGTTCTAGCCTGTATCCTTCGCATCGTTGTAAAACGCTTCATTTGGTACGTGACCTTTTGTGATTTCCTGTTTCACTGTTCCCGAAATTGTGGAACTTGGACGAAAATGATCACAGGCAGTCTGGTTTTGGGGATTATGTATGTAGGTGAGGCATGCTCAAGGGATTCATAATGTAGCAGGGGAAAAGAATCATGATGCCTACTTTTCTGAAGAACTTTTTGATGCTTACCTTACCCCTCTTGGCTGGCAGCAGGTAAATACCCCTTAATAATTAGTAGTTCCTCTTATTAGTGATTCTTTAGAAGTGTTTCACTGAAATGTTGGGAATCATTAATTAGTTAATTTATGCATTCGTTTTTTGTGGTTTCTTTTAGCATTCCATTCGGAATTACTTTAGAATTATTCTCGGTTATACTCTTGTATGATGGATTTGGTTTTCCAATGGTGAAAGAGAATAATGCTTTAGGATATTCTATGTTATGATATGTAACAGGTAGATAATCTGCACAAGCATGTTCGAGAAAGTGGACTTTCTGAGGGAATAGATTTGGTCATTGTGTCCCCATTACTAAGGTAATACTTTTCTAGAACTTAGTTTATATTTTGAAGATTTTATGTATTTGCATGGTCTTGGCGCACCTTTTTCTTTCTTTTGACTTTTAGGCGTCACTTTTTGCTTACTGCACCGCTAAACTTATTTTTAATACAGATCATAATGTCAATCCTTGAAATGTTTATTGGACCACATTTTGCTTCCACCGTGTATCATACAGTATACACGTTATGTTAGTCAAAATTTCTAGATATTGTTTCTCTGATGTTTGATTGTTTCTCATTGTACCTAAAATTCTATGCATTTAATCCATTTTTTCATATATTGAGCTTTTAAGTCAAACCTACTATGAAAAGCATTGAACACTGGGTTCATGCTTGTGAATGAGTTTTTGGTTTTGATTTTCTATGTATTACCTACTTAAATGATAAGCAATATTTTGCATCATAGGACCATGCAAACAGCTGTTGGAGTATTTGGTGGTGAAGGGTATGCAGAAGGCATAGATGCACCTCCACTAATGGTGGCAAATGCAGGAAATAGTGACCGTTCTGCAATTTCCAGTTTGAATTGCCCTCCATTTATAGCAGTTGAGCTTTGTCGAGAGCATTTCGTATGGCCTGCAACTCCTGATAATGATAAATTATTTTTCTAGAGCTAGAATTAAACTTTCAGATTGTAATCCTGTCAAACCTTATAAAAAAAAAAAAAAGGTAATCCTATTAATTAAAAGGAAACTAGGAAAGGGAGATCAGATCATTGTTTCTTTACCAACTGAATATTGATGATCAATTTCATATTTTATGATAAAATGTGTATTCTTCTATTGTACCCTTCTGCTTAGCAGGATAAAAGGAATGGAATTATAGTTTTACTTCAACTCTATGTTAATAATGAAAAATGATCCAGACAGGACATGATGATGAACGTACAGGATTTCCCCTTTAGCTGTTAAAATCATGCTTTCCTCTTTTAATGTTTGCATTTTCTTCAAACTGCAGGGAGTTCATCCGTGTGATCGGAGAAGAAGCATCAGTGAATATCGGCCTCTGTTTCCTGCAATGGATTTTTCTCTGGCAAGTTTTTTTTCATAATTATTATCTCTTTCATGGACAGTTACTTATTGAAGCCATTGTTTCTACGGATAGTCTTAGTGTTGGTTATACTGAATGCACTCTTGTTTCAAATTTTCCTCAGATTGAAAATGATAGGGATGTTTTGTGGACACCTGATGTCAGGGAAAAGAATGAAGAAGTTGCAGCCAGGGGACTTAAATTTATGAACTGGTGACTATCCTGTTTATTCTATTTCACATCTTTCCCCTTTCAATAAACACAATATTGAAACAGAAATGCAATCGTGTGTGCTTAAAAGTAGGTTAATCATGTATTAAACAATGTTGCACTTCTCTAGGGGGCTATATGGTGGTAATTCCCCATTGGCTTCTGCTACCCGTTAATAGACTCACTGTTTCTTTTTTGTTAACCCATTTGTAATTCATTGCCGAAGGTTGTGGACACGGAAGGAAAAGGAGATTGCAATTGTTACCCACAGTGGGTTCTTATACCATACCCTAAGTAATTTTGGGAATGACTGTCATCCATCCATTAAGAGTGAAATATGCACACAGTAAGTTTTACCTTATTAATGCCAGTTGTTAACAAATAATTCTAACTATTTAATGTGCGTAATAGCCAATGAAGAACATTGCTAATTAGATAATTTCTTCTCAAATATTCGAAACAAGCATCCCAACTGATCAATGATCTTCTTCCTGAATGCAATGCTATTACTAGCTAGCTATTGAGTTGGTTTTCATGATTTCTTAATTTCTTATGCGTGGTTTATTTTCTTTTTAATTTTGCTTATTATTTGATAGGTTCTATATAATATATATATATATATATATATTTATATATGCCTAGCATGCAATGGCGTTTTTGTTCTTATTCTTTGATAGATATGAATCATAGCAATTCGATAAAAATAACAACGCATGCCAGTTATGGACATCTATACTAACCAGTAGAATATGCACTTGCTTCTGCAGCTTTGCTAACTGTGAGCTCCGGTCAATGGTTTTTGTTGATAGAAGGTGAGCTTGAATTTTGAGGAACTCATTTCTAGCATTTGCATAGCGCTTTTATCATCTAACCCGTTTCCATCCTCTCATTCTGCAGTATGATGGGATCAGATTCTGCAATAACAAACTTCCCGGGAAAAATTCCACATGGGCTTGGTCTTCCAAGTGATGTTGCTGATGAGAAGCTTCCAAATGGAGTTACCAAGTAGATATTAATCTGAAGAACAACTCTCTAGACTAATGTTTAAAATTTATTTTGAAGGAATGGTGAATTAGGGACCTGAGTTCAATATCCCCAATAGTATGATTACAATTTTACTCATTTCCTTATAGCAAGAGGATGGGTATACTTATTCTTTTTAGATGAAACAGTTTGGAAAT